AAAATGATAGTTTTGACCCGAAACAGCCCGAAACACATTTTTCACCCCGGTCGACATGGTGGGACCCGTATTGACCCGGTGGACTCGGTTTTGACCGAAAATGACGGTTTTGACCCGAAACGTCCTGAAACTCATTTTTCATCGCGGTCGACATCGTTTGACCTGTATTGACCCGATGGACTCAGTTTTGACAGAAAATGATGGTTGACTCGAGAAAGTATATTTTAAACTCTCTTTTTTTCCTTTTTTTTCTCTTTTTTTTATTTAGTTTTTTTTTGTCATGAATAATAAGATAAAATAACATTCAAAAAATTTTAGTGAATCCAAAATTGGGTTACAACACATCTAATGGATATATTGTCTCATCAATAGCAGTGAATAATGCCATCAGTTCTTCAACCTCTTCTGAGATTACTATCCCTAGCCTCATCAGTGATCGATGCTCTAGACTCTTGGATCTTCTATCACCTTTAAACACCAACTGTACCAACTTCGTTGGTAATCTTGCCTCATGTCTAATATCATACCTCAAGGAGTTTCTCTTTTAATATCTTCATCAATTCCTGATGTATCCTTTTTATATTTCCTTCATTTCGTTGATCACCCAGGTTTCATCCTAGTCTCTCTTGCAATTCTGCTTCTTTTTCTAATCATGAATGAATTATTGATTCAGGTAACTAAGATCATATAACTTCAAATTTATCATCTTTTAATAATGTTTAATTCCTTCATTAACCATGTCCCATTACATTTTCAAATGGTGATGTTGTTTCTATAACTCATTAAGGCACATTACACATTTCACTCGATATCTTTCTTTCTAATGTTCTATATATACCTTCCTTTAAATTTAATTAGTATACTGTCCATTAACAAACTCGCCACCACTCTTAATTCTGTTGCCATATTTTTTTCTATCTTCTGTGTTTTTCAGGACCTATCAATAAGAAAGCCGATTGGAATGGGTGAAGTACAAGATGGGCTTTTTCACTACAAGCCTTTCTCTACCTCCTTTTTCCACTCTTAAAACATCCTTGACTCCATTATTTGGCATCAGTGATTAGGCCACCCTTCTACTTCATGTATTTTAAAAACTTTACACATTATAAACAACATTTGACTTGTGATATATGTGCTAAAGTAAAACACACTGACTTATCTTTTTCTTTGAATACAAATAAAAGCATATTTTGTTTCAATCGAATTTATTGTGATATATAGGGTGGTTATCATACTACATCACATTCAGGAGCACATTATTTTTTAACAATTGTGGATGATTTCTCGCACAGAACATAGGTCTATCTCATGCATATGAAATTTGATACTTGAACTTGCCTTACAAATTTTTTTATCATGGTTAAAACTCAATTCAATTACATTATTTGATATGTGCACACTATTAATGGTCAAGAATTTATGTCCAATAAACTTCTAACCTTTTTTCATGATCATGACATTCTTCACGAACGCACATGTGTGGATACACTTTAACAAAATGGTGTTGGCGACCGGAAACATCGTCATCTACTTAATGTGGCTCGGTGTTTACATTTTCAAGCTAATCTTCCTATCTCATTTTGGGGTGAATGCATTCTCACAACCATATATTTAATTAACCAAACCTCTTCCCCTAGCTTGAAACATAAGTCCTCTTATAAGCTTCTTTTAAAAAAAACCACCATTATATACACATTTAGAAGTGTTTAGCTGCTTATGCTATGCTCAAACCCCTCGTCAACATCGAGTTAAGTTCTCCCCTTGTGCTTTACGCTGTATTTTCTTAGGTTATCTTACCGATCATCAAACTTATTGTATGTATGATCTAGAACATCACAAGATCTTCATCTCTCGTGACGTTACTTTTAAAGAGAATATCTCTCATTACCACTTTATACCTCCAAACCCTGCAGTTGCTCCAGTCCTTTCGTTTCCAATTCCTGATATCCCCTCCTCATCCAGTTTACCCATATCATCAACCTCCTTTTCCATCTTTCCTCCCTTACCACTCACATCATCATCCATTCCTTCATTACCATCTCAAGATCTCATTTAACGACCACAACGAGTTGTTACATGTATAACTTACTTCATTGATTACATCTACTTTTCTCTTTCAAAGTCCCTCACAACTTCTCCAGCTCCATGATCTTTGTTAGGTACAACTTTTTGTCTTTTTTTTATTATCTTATCATCATTTTTCAAATCATCATCTAGTTTTACCTTTTGCATTATCTCAACACCCTAATCCCACCTCATATTCTCAAGCTATGCATCATTCTCATTGGCGTGATGCCATGGCAGCTAAAATCCAAGCCTTAAAAGCCAACCATACTTGGATACTTCAACCTTTTTCACTTAGCAAACAACTAATTAGCTGTAAATGGGTGTTTAAAACTAAATTTTAGGTTGATGGATCCATAGAGTGCCACAAAGCTCGCTTAATGGCCAAAAGATATACTCAGATAGAAGGTTTGGATTGTCATGACACTTTTGCTCCTATTGCTAAACTCATTACTATTAAATATATTCTTATAGTTGCTACAACTCGATAATGACATCTTTTCCAGTTGGATGTTAACAATATCTTTTTACACAGCAACCTTGATAAGGAAGTTTATATGTCTTCTTCACCAGGTTATTCCACGCCAACAACGACTCCTTTGTCATCTTCAGAAATCAATTTGTGGCCTCAAGCAAGCATATTGCAATTGGTTCTTTAAATTATGTTATGTTCTGCTTGTTGAGGGTTTCACCCAATCTTAAGCTGATCACTCTTTTTTCAAAATTTCTCGGGGTCAGTCTTCCACTTTCATATTGAT